ATGAGACTCTGAGAGACTTTCCACAGTGTGGGCCACAAAAAAGGTCCAAGGAGATCCCCTGAGGATTTCTTTGGTGGATTTGACCCACAGGGTGGTGGCAGGGATAGCCTCAGACAAGGAGGAGAGCCACAAGCTCCCAGGTCCCACTGTTCACTGTAGTCTCTTATGGGAATATGCTGATCTCCATGCTTTTAAAATACTTTAAATTTCAATTTTCTTTAGAGACAGAGTCTCACTCTGTCACTCAGGCTGGAGTGCAGCGGCATGATCATAACTCACTGTAGCCTTCAACTCCCAGGTTCAAATGATCCTTCCACCTCAGCTCCCAAGTAGATGGGACTACAGGTATTCTACCATGCCCGGCTAATATTTAATGTTTTTAGAGAGGGGGGTCTCATTATGTTGCTAGGGATGGTCTCAAACTCTTGTCTTACGTGATCCTCCCACCTCAGCCCCCCAACCACGCCCAGCTGCATGCTTTTCAGTTAAAACTGCCAGCGTGCTTCCTTCTTTTTCACGTACAGAAAGGAAGAAGTGAGCTGTGTCGCTTCTTGGCCTTTTGGCTAAGATCTAGAGAAGAAGAGGAGTTGCCTTAGGCTTTTGTTGATGTGACCAGAAGCCTGAGGCTGGGTAATAAATAAAGAAAAAGAATTTATTTCTCACAGTCCTGGAGGCTGGCAAGTCCGAAATCAAGGGAGCATATCTGCTGAGGGCCTTCTTGCGGGTGGAGACTCCCTGCAGAGTCCTAAGAGAGGTGGCTCAGGACATCACATGGTGAGAGTGTTTCTCTTCCCCTTATAAAGACAGCAGTCTCACTCCCAGGATAGCCCTGTAATCCATTAACCCATTAGTCCCCAAATCCATGCATAGATAACCCACTCATGAGAGCAGAACACTCCTGATAATCACCTCCTAAAGGCCATACTTCTCAATACTGCTACACTGAGGATTAAGTTTCAACATGAGTTTTGGAGGAGACAAACATTCAAACCATAGCAGTTGATAATTAGGGTGTCCCAAGGCTGGGGAATTTAAGAAAATTCCCTGTTTAGCTTGTCAAAAGCCACATCTTCTGGCTCTTCCCAAACAATGGGGTCAGGTTTGGTGATTTTAGCAGAGGGGTTGGGCCAGAATAGAAGACCTGGGGATCCAGCAAGCCCAAGAAATCCACAGAGCGAGTGCTCAGTTCTGGATTTCAGGAATTATAAAATGTCTTGTATGCAATCTGGGTCTGACTGTGGTCCACTTTGTGAAATTAGGTGGCCTAAATATGTTTCCTGGGTTTTTACCAGTCGTTATTTTTCCTTAGAAACCTAAAGGCCTGCTTTCGGCCGGAACCGCCATCTTCCAGTAATTTGCCAAAATGACGAACACAGAGGGAAAGAGGAGAGGCACTCAGTACATGTTCTCTAGGCCTTTTAGAAAACATGGAGTTGTTCCTCTGGCCACGTATATGTGAATCTATAAGAAAGGTGATATTGTAGACATCAAGGGAATGGGTACTGTTCAAAAAGGGATGCCCCACAAATGTTATCATGGCAAAACTGGAAGAGTCTACAATGTTACCCAGCATGCTGTTGGCATTGTTGTAAACAAACAAGTTAAGGGCAAGATTCTTGCCA